GGAAGGCATGGTGGTGAGAGGGGAGCCATGCTGGTATACTGGTGAGAACAAGAGCGGAAGGCATGGTGGTGAGAGGGGAGCCATGCTGGTATACTGGTGAGAACAACCAGGGAAGGCATGGTGGTGAGAAGGGGAGCCATGCTGGTATACTGGTGAGAACAAGAGCGGAAGGCATGGTGGTGAGAGGGGAGCCATGCTGGTATACTGGTGAGAACAAGAGGGGAAGGCATGGTGGTGAGAGGGGAGCCATGCTGGTATACTGGTGAGAACAACCAGGGAAGGCATGGTGGTGAGAAGGGGAGCCATGCTGGTATACTGGTGAGAACAAGAGCGGAAGGCATGGTGGTGAGAGGGGAGCCATGCTGGTATACTGGTGAGAACAAGAGGGGAAGGCATGGTGGTGAGAGGGGAGCCATGCTGGTATACTGGTGAGAGCAAGGGGAGAAGAAGTCATGGTGGTGACAAGGGGAGCCATGCTGGTATACTGGTGAGAACAAGCAGGGAAGACATGGTGGTGGTGATAGGTGCAGTGGGGTTGTTATGGTGGGGAAGCAGGATGCCAGCTTGGTGGAGAGACACAGAAAGGGCCCATTTGGGCTTATCTACAACAAAGTCAGCCAAATAAAACACAAATCACATTGCAACCACCGATATCATTAATATAAACTTGCTTTATTGTATTTATATATTGAAGACAAAGTACATTGTACTAGAATGGCTTGTAAAGGTTTTGACACTATGTACAATGCGAGAAGAAACTGTAACAATACATACAATGCTTAGAATCTATTAAAGACATTGACATCTGTACATATATACCGTAACATACATTTTGCTGGGACATTTGCAATTTTACATGCTTGCTTTTCTTTTGCTGCTTAAAGCTGAACTTTGATCACAAAGACTTTCATTTAAATACATGCCTCAAAGTCACTCATGATAAAAAATGTACTTTGTGTTCATCAAATGCCTTTGCAAATCCAGTGATTACCTTGTACAAGTAACATTGTGATGTGTCACCTGTACTCCTTACAGCGATTGGACCTGGATTAATGGTCGTGGTGCTCGTAGTGATTGCACGGTTACGCCGTGTTTTCCAAAATCGTAGAAGATGGAGATCACCAGCACTCAGTCCGAAGCATTGGATAAGTTTGCTTATTTATTGAAGAAACATGTCACAAGCGTCACTTAGCCAATGTTTTGGGGCCACGGCATGCACGGCCGTATCGGGCCGTTCCCGGGAAGGACAGGTGCTGCGTCTGATTGTACGCAGCAGTCTATTCTTCTCTATGGGAGGACGCAGCCGTACGCTCACCCGAGCTGCACATCCGCGGGTGCGGGTGTCCGTACTCTGTGTCCGAGCATGGACACCCGCACCCGCGGATGTGCAGCTCGGGTGAGCGTACGGCTGCGTCCTCCCATAGAGAAGAACAGGCTGCTGCGCAATCACATGCAGCAGCTGTCCTTCCCAGGAGCGGCCCGATACGGCCGTGCACGCCGCATGGATCTGTACGGGCCAGCATGTAACTGTGTGAATGAGGCCTAAAGCTGAACTCCAGACGAACTACTAAATAAATACACAGATCAAAGACATATATATATATAGGGGCTGTTTTTCTGTCCATCCAGTCCTGAAGTTTATACAGCTCTGCCTCACAGCACAGCCATGTCTTTCAGAGGAGAGCACCTGATTTTTCTCTACTGCAGTTTCACTTCTACCTACCCACCCTGTGACTGGATAGTGAAAGGCGAAGCAGCAACCTGATTACTTCATATCTCCGTCACTCTGTTTTCTCATCCTATCAGCACGCTCCGTGCACTACAGCACAACTAAATGGCTCCTTCTGCTGCTTCTCCCTCTCACAGTCTGAACTCTGCTGTACAGGGACTGCATGAGGCTGATACCAAGTCAAATTCAGGTACTTAAACATTTAAAAATACATTAAGGGGCGTGTTAATGAATACAGAGCTGCATTCATTCGTGCCTTCTACATCTGCCTGACGTTCGGCTTCAACTAGGAAGTGACACCTTTTTTTTCTGCATACTCGAATTATTTCATTAGTTGGCACATTGTTTAAGATATAGAAACCTAAATTGTCCCTTTTGTCACCAGGCCTTGGTGTGCTTTGGCTTCCTGGCAATGATCCTGTATTTCAGTGGAGAAGAATGATGATCAGTGTTTTTGATTCTGGTAAGGCGCACAGACCTGGAGGCTGATTGAAGAAGGAAAGTTCCAGGCAGCAGGCAATTAAAATGTCTTTTTTTTCTTCAAATAAAGGAAGAGCAGGAGAGATTTTATGTCTTCTTCTTCAGGTCCTCCAAACGTTTAGACAGGTCCTCAAAGTCTAAATCTTCGTATGGGGATGGTTCCGCTGGGTTGGGGGTACGAACGGGGCTGACGGGGATAGAAGGGAGCTTGGGTAGCGGTAGGTTGCCATACTTGTCAGGTATGATGTTCGGGCCCAGCGTTGTCCTTGGTTTAGCTACAGGGCCTACAAATGAGAACACATGATATGATTCCACTTATGTATCAATCTAAAATTATCTTCGAGAACTTCTAAGCTCCAAATCTTTTCTTTCATATCCTTCAATAACTTTCATCTTGAAGGAAACCTTTAATCATTAGCTAAGGGCTGGAAGAACCAGCCATTCAACCCAGGGGTCAAGCAGCTGACTCTTTGTTAGCTATGACCTGAATCACCTATGCTATGAAGAAATATGACCCGTATCATGTATATTATAACATATCAAAATGATTGCTTTATTACCGTACTATGATTTCAGCATGCCTCCAAATGTTATTATACACCCACAATATTGGAAGGATTGGAAGTATACAAATGGTCATTTTTCTTTTATAAATCCTGACGGAATCCTGACACAACCCGTATTACGCTTACCATTGTCCCATGCAGGAAAAACCTGTGTATCTGGTCCGGGGTCCACATTTCTACATTACTGCATACAAATAATAAAAAAGCATTAATGTAGATGACAGAGTTCATCCAACATTCATTCTGTATAGCCAGAACAATGACAATTAATTTTATGGATGAATCTAATTGAATCTTAAAGGGGAAGTAATATATAAATAAAAATAAGGAACTCCCAGGAGCTTATAGCCATAATCTGCCTGTATGCAGAGCACACGGGACACTTAACTTGCCAACGCAATCCCCATCAGTGTTGCGTTGTCCATGCTCTCCTCCCTCGCCGGAGCTTCCATGTTCAACCTGGGTTCAGAGCCTTCGGCCAGGGCCAGATGAGGTAGATTCCGTTCTTGTGCAAGGGTGTTACTTTGCCTCAGGACGAATCTTGCCGTGCCTGCGCTGCTCATTGCGCGGCTCAGCGCACAGAAAAACAAAAAGTGCTAACAGGAGGATGCATGGCAGAAGACTCGCACGGCCTCTTCTGCCATATTAAGCGCACCCGTCAGCACTTTTTATATAGAACACTTAGCCAGCTAGCCATACACTTATTGGTGTTGCATGGGGCTCAACGAGAATAACAAAAAGCTTGATCCACCCCGTCCACACTAAACAGGCGCGCTGTTCACTTTCAAAGAATCCATCTGCCCATGAGTGCGCACTGCACGTACAATGCGGGAAAAACATGTGGCGCACTTGCGACGCCATTACTTGTTAATTGCACCCCAGACACATCAGGCAAAACCCCCACCTTTGCCAACATGTAATCAAAAAATGCATCAAGCTTGCAGATCAAACTGCTGCTTGTGTTTTTTTTAGCCGTGTTTATCCTGCTTCGGGCAGCCCATTGAAATGAATGGGCTGATGTTCAGCAAACACAAAAAAATGTGATGTGCGTTCACGCATGCTGCAAGTGCAAATGGGGCCTTAGGGCAGACCTGTAATACACCTCTGTGTTTGGAATTGTAGGGCTTACCATGTCAAAGGATGGAGGAATAAAAGGCAGGGTTGGAGGCGCATTTCCCTTTTGAGGTGGAGGAGGATGCATAAATGTACACTCTTCGTAGATCCCAACATCAGCTTTAGGATATGGCTGTTGAAACTTCACGGACATCGACGTCACCGGACTCCTCCCCCCTTCCCTTCGTTAGCCGTCACGGACATCGACGTCATCAGACTCCTCCCCTTTCCCTTCGTTAGCCGACAGAGCCACTTGGGGAGGGCGGAGGAGTCCGGTGACGTCGATGTCCGTGACGTCACCGGATCGCCTACGGGACTCCCGGAAGCCGGCGGAGAGGTGAGTGTTTTCATTAGCGATCAAAATAATTTTAATCGATCAAAAAGTTTAACGATTAATCGAGAAATTAATCTTTAATTTCCACAGCCCTAGTATTTATACAGCGCCAACAATTTATGCAGTGCTTTACATAGAGCACATTTACATCAGTGCCCACCCTCAAGGAGCTTATAATCTAAGCTTATATCAGCAAATTCAATATGATAAGGGTAAAATGCTAGCAATTCATGCAGGTCGGTTTCCCTTTCTAGTCATCTTGTGCCCTCACTGGAGTACACAGACTTTGGAGTGATTGCATAGCCAAAAAAGTGAAGTCTATGGGGCATGTCATACATAAGTATGTGAAGTTGTGCAATTGGAGCTTCAAAATTAAGGAGAGAAATGTAACACAATGCCCACAAGTAAAACCATTCTGGGACATGGTCTTTGTGGTAACATAACAAATATTGTAGACCTCTAACAAGCCAGCTGCCTGTCTACTTTAACTGACCCAAGAATCTATTCCTAAGTATAAAAAATCCTTGATTGTACATCTCCACACCGCACAAGCTTGCATTCCTATACCTTGGAAGCAACCCTACCCTTACAACTCCACAAATTAAGTATGCCAAGATTAATGAAATCCTGCAAATGGAAGATCTTACTTCGACTCTTAAGAATATAACGATTCAGGTCCACTTGGGGACCTTGGCTCTTTTTCCAAACTACCAATGCTTACTTACCTGAAATGACAGTTCCTTCCCTGACTTGATTTTGTAGCTCTCGGGCTAGGTTCCCTTGAAACAAAATCTGGCACCACCTTTTAGGCACTGTCCGCCTTCTCCTGGGTGTATCTTTGTCCTGGGGCCCCTCATTTCACAGAGAGCAGACAACCCTTCCTTTCCCTTTTCTTCCCCCTATCTCTGTGTTTTAGCTATTTCCCTTTGTGCCCCCATCCTGCCCATCCCGCCATTCCCCACGTTTCCCATCCCACAAGTTCCTCAATCTATATTGAATCCCGGTCTACATTACTGGAGGTAACAACGCATTGTCTGTATTGAATCCGAATGGGATGCATTTCTGTATGCACTTCTATACATATGTAGACCAGATGTCGATGTCCAATTACTTACTCTAGCCTATAGGAATGTTTTAGGATGGCACTTCCTGAGCTAAGGTAGCAATTAGGCCTTCTCATCGCTGTGATTTTTACTGTCATGTTGACATATCGTACTGTTTCTGAATATAAATTTGTCAATAAAGAATCTTGGATTTAAAAAAAAGAAATGGATATCATCGTTGAGTTCTTAAACATGTTAACATGGCCACATTACTGGAGCATTCTAGACGGCCATGCTAAATGATAACCTATGCATTAGCAAACCATCTAAGGAATGGGCATACGTTGAGATGATACGAGTGTACATTGGTTAATAGACACCTACTGTCACTGTTGGATATGGAGAAACCGCTGGGCCTCTGAAATCGCCACCACCAGCTCCTCCATTACCCGGACCACCTCTTCTATTGCTGCTTCTAAAGTCGCTTCCATCAACTTCAGATCCAGTGGGCGCCTCGCTCTGAAGAGAGAAAAGTACAACGTTATGACCATTTGACTTAGGACTGACATGTAGAGGAGAGCATGGTGCACTCCAAATGATTCAGAAGCCCATCAATTGCAAGTGCTGTAGTGCAAAACGTGGATGGTGTTGCTATCTTAAATCTTCAGAGTGTCACGACACCAGCACATCGAATGTTCCCAAAAAATTATTATTTATTATTCAAGAACAGGAGCGACATTTCAAAGCATTACATCGGCCCCTTCATCAGGTATCTACTGGCCGATAAAGGGGTACATGTGAGGCTCTGAAACATCACCCCTGTTTGTGACTAATAAATAGTTATTTTTTGGAACATTCAATGTGCTGGTGATACTCTAAGGCCTCATTCACACTGCCGTACAATACGCTGCGTATATGCGCGTATTGTCCCATATGCAGCATATGCAAATAAATGGCTCCATACAGAGACGTATATTTGCACTGCGTAAAGATGCGCAAAAACAGAATGGACCCGAGATGCGACCGGGCAGCGTATTTCTGTGTTTTGTTTACGCGAGTAGGCGCATATGCGCGTACAGTTCATTTAAATTTCTATTGCGAATGATGCATTCTGGGATTGCATATAGTGCGCGCGTATACATACCTGCGTGCATATACGCTTATATACGCAATATAAAATTTTGCTCTTGCGTTGTGTGTGCATGAGGCCTAACACTGCTGACTTAGGACTAGTTCACAATGGTTTCCCTGTATTGCTGGAGATGACCATGGCTGAGAGGTCTCCCCATCAATGCTGGCATGGCTGTGAAATCTTCATGAGCTCATTGTCCTTGCTCCCCTTTCAGGTCAGCCAACGTGTGAAGATTGAGAGCGCCACAAGTAAACAATTAGTCCAATATATATTTATTATGCTTGACAAAAGGTCAATAGATAACAGCCAACATCTTTTGGGGACCTCCATTCCCCCTTATTCAGGGCTAAAAAGACAAGACAAAGCAGAGGGGTACATAAAATAACAACAAAAACTAAAATGGCCAAACCATGATTAAAACAATTTAATATTGTCAGATAAGATCTCCTCAAATAAATATACATAAACACACATATACAAATATATCAGATGTTTCCATATAAGATTGCTATAAAGATATATATATCTATATCTATATCTATATCTATATCTATATATATATATATATATATAGATAATGAACATAAAATGCATGTACATTTCCTTTATGATAGAGCCAGCCTGGTTTGTAGGTAGCTCATTAGTCTATGGTTAGGCAGCACAAAGATGCACAGTCTCCCATAGATAGCGCCGAACCAAAACTGATGTTGGAGTTCATAAAAAAGTTCAATAGTTGTCTTTGGTGTGCGGTAGGTTATTTGGTTCCTTCATTTCCAAGCCCTGAGGAAAGGGGTGTATTTTGGTGGCAGACACACCCATTTCTTCAGGGCTTGGAAACGATGAGAATGAAGGAATGGATTCAAGCCAAAAAAACTCAGATCACATTCAGTTATCCTAGTTCCTCCAAAGTTTGTAGATTACAGGTAGAGATCAATTTCAAAGCCCTGAGGAAGAGGGTTGTGTCTGCCTGAAATGCATTGGCTGTTTGATCAACACTATCATCAGCAGTTGCACTAGGGTGAGAGTCACCCGCTGCGGCTGCCATGCATGCATTGTGATGTTCATGGTGTGACCATCTTGGTGACGGGTGCTGGCAAAGAGGAGGGGATGTTGACCCGACATAATCAGGTATGCACCCCCCTTGCCGCTGTCGAGTTCTCAGTTCATGACCAAGTGCACGACTTTTAAGACGGGGGGACACTAAAATGACTGTCGGTCATTTCGGTGTCACCCCCTCTGATGGTGTTTCCCAGTGCGGGCCGCACCCCTTTTGTGACGCCACTGACTACCATTAATCTTTATTATGGACTCTAACATGCGTTTTGGTCTGGCGCTCTTCTGTTTTCTGTCCCACAGTTGTCCTCTAGGCTCGGTAACACCGGCACTGCCATAAATCCTCCATTTTACCCACCATAACTCTAGCATCCGGCTCATACTGTACGTTGTAATTCTTTGCAATCTCTATCAGGTATCTCTCCACCAGGATTTTAGGGGGTGCCTCCGCGCTTAGCTTATGCATGAGCTGTGAAAAGAAAGCATGGTTGGCAGATGTTTGCATACAGCAGAATTTATATATTACATTGTTATTTTGTGCGTATATGGAAAGCTTAGAAAATGGGTTTATATATAAAAAAAACCTCAGTGAACGTATCAAAACTGGAGCAGAAAAAATCTGGAGCAGCTGTGCATGACAACCAATCAGCTTCTCCATTTCATTTTCAGAGCTTAACTGAACAAACTGAAGAGAGAAGCTGATTGGTTGCCATGGGCAACTGCTCCATATTTTGTCTGCTCTAGTTATAATAAATCTCCCCATAATATAGTATTTAAAGCTGAACTCCGGGTATCCAGTATTATGCATACTTACAGTGGTCCAGATTGGCCAAATGTAGATATGCATATGATATACCTTGGCAGTCCACGGGGATCCTGTAAAGCACTTTAATAGGTGGAGCTACTAATTGCTGACCACGGTCCTCCAGGTCCTGTATGGCGCTGAGCTGAATGGCTTCTCCTCTGCTCTGAAAATACAGGGGGGGG